TCCATTCAAGAGACAGCTGTCTTTTCAGGGTGCCCCATACAACTGTTCCAGATGCTGGACAGAACCTGTTTATTCACCCTCATCCTAAATTCTGTTTGCTTAGCTACAATGAAGTCAGATGTCAGCCACATCATATTTTTAATTTATAAAATCAGAACTGCCACTGTATCTGTTTATCTTTGTTTCTATCACATGCAGGACAATACTTTGTGAGTGTACCTTGCTGTATCTATTCCCAGGGCTGTCATAGTTTGTGTGCCACCCCGCTGGCGTATTCTTGTGGCTGCAGCCATCACGTCTTCTGTTGTCGAGTATGTATTCAGGAAAAATTCATGGACTACAGTCTGTCCGTACTGAACAATTCCAACCTGAAATACACAGTTCATGTTAAAAATCAACCACTCTTAAAGAAAGCACCTGTGTCTCCTGCAGTAAGGTAAATGGCCATCTGTACCTACAGGCAGGATCTCTTTGTGTTTTCCTCAGTATGAAACACCTATAAGCATTTGAGTAAGACTGGCTAGAAGACACTCAACAACATGAAACATTTTGAATTTTCTAAATTGTTTTTATTAAAAGTAGTAACACCACCAAAAGCAGGCTCTATTCCTTGCTCTTCCTGATTTGTGCCAATCTGTGCCACAGCTCTGCTCTCCTCTAGACCAAAGCAGACCAATGCCTTAACCACTGGTCACTACTTCTGAGAACAATTTTCCTTATAGTGCATGAGGCTATGGTCCACTCACAACTCTCTTCATTCCATCCAAATATAATATTCCTACATCTGATAGTTTATTTACCCTAAACCTAGCCTAGAAACAGCACTGCAATGACAAATTCAGAACCTCAGGATGAGAGGAAGACACAAGTACCCTTAGCTTGATGAAGACAGGAAGGCAGTCCAGGACATGGCCGTTCTCCCAGCAGGAGGTAAGCCAAAGTAAGAGACCTGACAATACCCAGAGGAGACAATGTGAATAAAATGGTGGTTTCTGGAAGGAGGGAGGATGATGAAAAGCCTCTGAATGACCTCAGTAGGACAAGCCTTCCTGCAAAAGATCAATGCATGTGACTGGAACCCAACCAGAAATGCCTGAGGGAAACTGCTGCAAAAAAAGTGTGAAATAAAAAGATAAGCAATATTCTTAAGTATTAATTTCTCTCATTCATCTCTGTCAGTTTTAATGTTTTGGCAGGTTTCTGACAGCTTTTACTGGGAAGTTTCCACACAATGTTCCATTAGCATATTTCAATTTTATGTTACACATGGCAATTTATAGGTGTTATTTAGGATAATGGAGTATTATGTGGCATATTTATGTCTCACTCATCTATTATTAAAGGCACTACAGCATTTAGGTACTGAAGATCAGTAAGTCCTCTAGGATGTTTATGCCGTCATATTATTTTACACGTGGCTTAGTACGTACTTTGCAATTGCTTTATACATGGTTTTTGAGCTATTTTCATAGCCTCTCAGATTCAGCACAATGTTTGCTTCTAGTGGAAGGGTTAGAGTTGGATATGTATTTGATACTAAACATCAATATCACAATCACTATGAAAAGCTAGTTACATACAATTATGGAACTATAATTCTAATGGTATGTGGTAACAAAACCTATCCCACTTAATTTCTGTACCCTTTTCAAAATACAATCAAATATGGAAGAACTGATGTAAATTCAAAGTCACTGTAAGTTGCTCCCTTTTAAGATACTTTAATTGTCTCTTGGAGGCTTGCCATCCTTCACCTACAGCTGAGCATCCAAAGGGTGAATGTTCTCATGGACAACAGTCTATTAATCCTGCAGAGTATTTACACAACAGGCTGGGGCATACTGTATCACTGCTCAGAGCAGTCTTGTGCCATGGCTAAACCCCAGTGTGAAGATGAAGTTTTAACCCATTCCATCCAAGGCAACTATTTTGTGGTATACATCTGAAGTGACACACAGCATAATCTGAACAGGATGCTGCTAGTCATTTAAAAAGACTGCTGTTAACTGGTGATAAAAATGAAGTCTTCTTCATGTTTGGTCTTTTGAGGCAGGAGGAATGCCTGAATTATTCCAGGACCATGTGCAAGTGTAGCCAGTGAATACTGTATGCCAGGGACACCACCGCTGTGGATTCACAGGTTCCTTGTCTGCAGTTTTGGGGATGTTACCGATACCAAGGATTAAATCAACTATTGACTGTTGCTAGGGTGAAAAGTATCTGCTAGTCTTTCACCATTCTAGAGACCCATGTTGGTGTTGCTGCTTTCCTGAAAAAGATTACAGGCTGACATTGAGTTGTATCATTTCCTATTTGAAAGGAAACATCGTCCATGATCACAGCAAGTAAACATTTTGAGCATTTCCTTCTCAGGAAGTGAATGGGAAGAACATCTGAGTCTGGAAAACTGCACTGTGTTGCACAGCTTGTAAATCAGGAAGGAAGGGGGGCATGTGGTTATCTTATGGGATACAATTATTCTGTGGGACCCTTCCTTAGCATTAGCTTTGAAAACACTGGTTGTCATGTTCTATGTATTTAATGGCATCAAAGATGAGCCATTCCTCAAAAAAGGGTAATGAAAACCTCCCTAGAACAGACAAAATGCTATTAGGCTGCATATTCCAGTCTCCTACAGGATCACAAAATCAAATCCACCTTGCAAAACTCGAATTACATTCTCTTAGATAGCAATGAAGGTTTGAGCTTTTGCAGCCTTTTAATCTAATTGAAAACTATAAATGACACATCTACATGATGCAAATGTGCTTTTATGGGACAATAAACCTGTTCAAACTGCATAACTTCAGCAAGTCCCTATCAATGACGCTTACAAGCACTGTATGTTTTGATTTGCTTGTTTAATTTAAATATGGAAAATGCAATAATACTACACAGAAGGACATAATTCTGCTCTAATCCAGAAAATCTAATAGTTTTCCCAGCATTACTGACCATAATCTATTGAACATCTTTGTAATTCCTAAGTTTATGTTCCCTTCCCTAGCATTCCATGGCTTTCATATTACTCAAGGGAATAATTCTTTAATAGTCCCCAGTTCCTGTGAAAAAGTGTTGTGTGAGAGAACAGGCAAGTGAAGGACTGTTCTACTTTGGGACAAAGCATTTCTGAGAGCAATTATTTATTGCTGTTCTGTAAGTGAATACAGCCCCTTGCTTTACATTCTGGCATTCCCAATAAATTACTGAGCTAATCTACGTGGTGAAAACCAACAAAAACAACAAAACCCATCTGAAAGGAAAATCATTTAGTATTTGGATATGATATGCTAGGATTTTCACCATTGGGATGGGGAGGACAATCTGAAATACTTTTGCTTGTACTTAGATCTTATTTAATGTAAAAGGAAAGCAGAGATGCCTTGGGAAGCACTAATGAATACTACATTTTATCATACGGAGAACTTGCTAAATATACCTGAATCAAAGCAAAATTGAATTAATTCTGCTACATTTTGTTTACTCCCAGGGACTGAGACAGAAATTATTTGTGAACTGTTGCAAAAGTCTTTCTTCATCCTGAATCTTTTTATTATCTCTTTAATACACTTCTATTCTTCTGGAGAAAAAACTGACCATAAGATATGACATGGAATGACTTATTAGTCCACTGATACAGTCCCTTTGGAGATATAAGATGATACAGGCCAAACACCTATAACAGCCTATGTCATACTTCCTTTTCCAGTTTTCTATCATTACTTCCACTTTACTTTTTAACCTTAAGCTCAGGATATGCAGCTTAACCAGTAGTATAGTGGTGTGGATTTCTGGAGAACAGGAAGAGAAAGAGAAGGAAATACTTCTGAAAAAATTATAACATAAACTTTGGCTTTTTGCATCTGAATCTTCTGTTTTTCACTTTCAAATTTGCCAAACATGGGACACCAAGGAATTTCTCTTCTGACTTGCCACAATGCTAGTGACCATTGTTCGTGGAAGTGGTAAGTGGAAAAAAAAAATATCTCACAAGCCTCTAATCAAAACATGGTTTTGAACAAGTCACACCCAAGCTGCTAAGGAGTTATTCTGTAATCACCTCATTTCTTTCCTGTGCAAGGGGAAAACAAACTGAAGTCAGTGAAAGTCCACTGATTTCTATGTGCTCAACAATCCTAAAAGATGAACTTGGAAAAATAAATTTAAAGAGACAGAAAGTAAACAATTATTCCTTTATTTCTATTCTGTGCTCCCAGAAGATGAGGAAGAAATCAGCCTGCTATGTCTTGTCTGCTTTTCCCTATTCAATAGTCATTTAAACACAGCTTCTGAGAAAGAAGAGAGTGTGGGTGGAGGCAATGGCATAAACTCGTTGTTACTACCTTTGGTTGTGCCATGGTTTCCAAGCAAGGGGCTCAGAGGACTGGAGAGGGATAGGATGTGTTCTGGGGAGCAGGGAGAAGGTAAGAGGAATTGAGAAAATTCCACCTAGCTTTTGCCTTCCATTGCCAGAATTTCAGTCCTCTCTCTCTTACCTTGTTCTTATCTCCCTCTCAAATGCTTCTGCTCTGTAGCAATCAGATGCCAAAGCTGATGTTCTCAAGTGAGTCAGTGTACGTGTGAGATGAGGTGAAGCTATGCCAAATGGTGGGTAGAACAGATTTTGTAGGTGGAGACAGCAGACTGCTGGAGTGCAGGCCAGCAAGGGACCTTTTGTGTGAGAGCTGAGTTGCACAGATGAGGCAGGATTCCAAAAACAAACATAACAGAGGTGTGGCAATGTAAAAACTTAGGAATTGCAGGGTGAGGAAGAAGGGTGAGGGTGCAGTAGAGTTGATTACCCTGTGTACTATTCCATGAAGCCCTTTGGGCAGAAGGCAGTGATGATCTCCATGCAGCCATTACCCCTAACTGGGAAGTTCAGCTTTAAGTATTTTCCCAAGATGGCACACGTTTGAGTAATCACCAGCTTAAGATACCTGGAAGAATTTATTTATTTTTTTTTCCTCTCTGTCAAATCTGACAAAGTGTTTTTCCTTCTTACTCACAATATCTGGAAAAATAGTGTATTTAAAATAACAGGAAATTATTGTAAAGTTGACAGTGTACAAGTAATAATTTTATCAGCCAGTGTTCAGTACAGCCAGCAGGGGAGCTGGGTGGTAATTCGCAAACCTCAGTTAACTTGAAAGTGTTGGAGATACTCTCTGCAGACAGAGGTATCCTTTACACTTTGTCACAGTCCCCTTTGTGAAGTCAAGAGCTGAACATTAGGAGCTAACCTGAAGCAGCAAAAATGTTAAGTATTGGCCTGCAACATATCAAATATGATACAGAATCCCAGAAAATCCTTGCTTTTGGGAGGGAGAAAAGGGAAAAGTCAAAGGAAGATCCAGTTTCTTCCACTGCTGTTAATAAAGCTTTCTGTGTTAAAATGTATCCCTGTGTCCATGTTTTCCCCTTCCCCAAGTTCTGCTGGAATTGTTATTTACATACTCTGTTCAGCAGACTGTGAAACATATGTCACATTCTGGGCTGGAGTAACTGGTGAGGCTTCATTAATTCTGGTGGAACTGCACTGATTTATAGCAGCTAGGCATTTGGCCCTCTCTGCTTATTATATAAATGCAGCTTCTGCCATTAATAACATGTGGCTTAACAGCCACTTGTTAATTATGATTTCAAACGTTTAAAAGCTGCTCAGTGTTCAACAGTACGAAATATTGAATGCTGCTCCAAAAAGCTTATAATCAAAGGCTGTCTGAACCATGCATGTGCTCCTTGGAGGAGCAGAAGTGACCTTTGTGTTATGAAGTACAAAAGAAGACAAGAAGCAGTTATAGAGAGGAAGGAAGTAGGAAAAGATGATGTTTAAGCGGCTTCACTTAATGCACTTAACTTTTGTCTCTTGGTTAGAAAGTTGGTTTCCTCAAGCTCCCTGAGTGGTGGAGGGAGGGAGAGCCTCCCTGACATTGTTATTTAGTGGCAGACACTGACTTACTTGTGGCTTCAGCTAATTTGTTTTAGTACTCCATTGCCGTAAATTGTTGCAATTGAAGAGCTCCATAGATGACACTCTCATCCTATTTCTTGTAAATCCTTTTTTTCCCTCACAAATTAAAGAACCATAAAATATCTACTGTGTTACCTGTGTTTGCTGAGGACCAATATCCATGTTTTTCAGGAGGCTGTTTAGGAAGGCTGTGACACTCTCCCATGGATAAATGCTGTTGGACCCATCGAGGACAATGACGATGTCCAGCTGGGTTTTACACTCTGCAACAAAAATTGACTCATAAGAATTGATACTAATAAGGATTAAATATATCTCACAGCTCCAATTACTTATGTGACAAATAACAAATGCACATCCTGCAATGGGGCTGAATTGACGTGTTTGATGCCAACTATCATTCGTCAACTTTTGCATTGTATTTTATGTGGTTTGTGCTCCCTTTATCAGCAAAGCACTTCCTTGCAAGCAGAAATTTAAGAGCAGGATTAGAAGAACACATAACTGGAGTATTTACTAGTGACTTCTACCTTCTTCAATGTCAATATATTTCTCTGATTTTTCCAAGGGACCAGGTCTTTAAGATTTTTATCTATATTACTAAATTGGGTTTGTACTAGTTCTTAACATGTCATCATTATTTAAAAAGAGCCTTTTAGCCATAAGTAAAAAACATAAGCAACTATTTTTAGTAATTGTGTTTGGATGTTACATAGTGCTGTAATGATTGTTTATACTGAGATAAATTCCAAAAGTAGCAAGAATTTAGGTTATATACGGACAATGAAAACATTTACTTAACTTGGTAATGCTGGTAGCTAAGTTAAGCAGTTCATACTTTTTGGTATGCCTATGTGTATACATTTGTCTTGTTTGGCACTTTGTATTTTTGGACACACAAGAGAATTCCCATGGCATGCATACCTTGCACAGATGGAGCAATCGCCTCGACAGTTTCAAAAGTGGAGGTTACATTAGAGCAAACTCCAGTTGTGTAATGCAAACGCCCACATTTATAAGCATAAAGTGGCCCACATGCCTTTAAAAGATAAAAAAGGGTGAAAAGTTTTTGTTATGGTACCTGAGGAAAAGAACATACTTCCTTTAAAATTGGCAAAAAATTCTTTCTTACCAGAAAGCCTCCTTTTGGGTTAGTCACTAAGGTTGTTCCAAGTGTCATGTTTTCCTTTACTTCCACGACGTTAGGAACTGAAGTAGATGCTATAAATAGATTAAAATGTTAAGTATTTGGGAACATGAAAACAAAATGTTAAAGTATATATCCCCAAGCATGGAGCTTCCAGCTTCTAAAATAAAACCCAGACTGACACTGGTTTCATCAAATATTTTAGCAATCTTCCTCCTCCTTCTTCTATTGCAACAATAAAAAGAAATTTCTGAGGCTGGCTTTTATCCCAGAAAATTTGTCTGTGTTGCTGTTTCAAATAGTTTTCTTGAACTGCAAAGGAGAAAAAACATAAAAATAACAGCACAATGAAAGCAAGAGATTACTGTTCGCACAGTTTTGTCAATTAGAAATCAAATGTTCCTTTTTTACACTGTCCTGCTTTAAATGACTTAACAGCTTTTATATTTATTACTGATAAGTTACACTACTGACATTTAGGTTTTCAAGGGAAAAGAGGAGATAAAAAAACCCACAACTGGTGTATTTAGTGAAATTTGTATTAACAGGAAGTCTCTTCCTGTCAACATCACATATCTCTTGACATGAGCAAAAAAATGATTAATATTTACCTGTATCACATTTAGATGCCTCAGCCTGGTTCTGGCTAGTTACATTCTCATCAAAAGCTTACTAATGGCATTATGAAGGCTTTTGTTGGCTTTAGAGAGCTTTGGAAAAGGTAATCCATGTATGGATTACCATGCTCATGGCTTTTCTGGCTTCATGACCAGAACTGGCAACCACAGTCAATTACTGTCAGTGATAATAAAGTTTATAACACCATCAAATGCCTGTTCTAAAATTATGAGCATGTTTTCCACAGGACAACGGAAATTATTTTTGATGTTACTGACACAGCTTCCCTCAAATTTAGCTTTGGAGCCGTAAGTAAATTTTCTCTATAAAAGCAATTCTTATGCACATTTACTAGCTAAAAATCTGCTAAGATCTGAATTCTGTCATTCTTCCATGTGTCACAGCTTTATTTTCTTTCATACCTGGTAGGTTCAGTTTTATGCAGGGTGATTGGTTGTCCCTTCCTACAGGGCATTTGTATACATCTCCTGTTCTTTTCTCAGGTTGGCCAACTAATGGTGAACCAATAAGTACCCTGCAAATGAAATAAGTTACCTGAAATTTCTTCTTTCTCAAAAGGCATGAAAGTCAGCAAATAAAACTTACAGAAAGAGCATAGCTGCAGCAAGGTCCATACAAAGAGTACAAGATGGAGAGCATGAAAACTATCTGTTTTGCTAGTTCAGCTACAAGCAAAAGTGGCCATTCAATCTCCTCTTTAATAAGGACACAGAAAGGAAATAAGCCTATATACCACATTGCACAATAGAATAACATTTTTTAAAACTCCAGTAAAAAATAAAAGCAATATTAGTTGGTGGATGACAAGTATTAAAAGTAATGTAGAAGGAAATACCTGTTTTATTTAATATCTCCTTGATCTTTAATATATTTTAGAAGAAAATGTATTTCCAATGCTGAGAGACCAAATGCTGAGAGACCAAATGGAGAAGCTTACAGGTACCCAGATTAATTCAGTTTTAAGTAATGTGAGCCAGCAGTGTATAATGCATATTTTTCCTCTCATTAAGAAAAAAATAATGGTATTAAAAGGGTTATTAAAAGAAACTTCAAGTTTTTAAAATGTAGAAGTTTTTTTTTCAAAATTTGGTGTGATCAAAAAAATCATTATTCTTATTTACTACTTTATAAGCACCACAAATTAGCATCCATTGCTAAATCCAGTTTTTAGCAGGGAACACTGTTTAGAGATGGATACTGTTTTTGTTCTAAAAATCTTCATTAGCTACAATAAATAGCCCAGCATTACCCAGCAGATAACAACTGACTCCATTAAATGTGCAAGGAAGAACTTGGATCAAGTTAGAATTCATAGCACACACTGGAAATACAAATTCTGCCATTAAGAGCAATAGTTCAGTAAGCTTTACTTCTGGGCACTTAGATGACTGTGAAGCATTATTGAGAGAATAATTTCAACTTTTAATCATAAATTAATGAGTCCAGGCAGAAGATATTTGAATAGAATGACATAATAGGTAAAATGTAGCCTACAGATTAGAAAAAGACAGAAAGAAGAATTTAAAAGCTCATTGTAATCCATTAAGATATTTGCATTAATAGTAATTAATTAATTCTAGAGCAAAATAAAATGCTCGAAGTATTTACCAGATCTGACTGCTCTTTCAAGCTATATGCTGTAATGTATGCATTTTTTTTACATCAAAACTTAGAAACAGACCCTTTAACTGCAGAGAAGTGGAGTGAGCTTGACATCTCACAGGAGACAATCAGTGCTTAGTAGGATCATGTCCCCATGAAAGAAAGAGTCCCGTGAACAGAAAGAAGTGGTCTGAAAGGATGTTTTCTCTTTTTTCATGAGGGATTTTTTTAGGACACCTCAGTTTTACCGAGAAACAACTGCAGTCAGGTTCACAGAACATCTGTTGCTGCAATGCTGTGACTCTGATATCTAGGTAGCGTTACAGCAGTTGACAAAGCATCGCAGGGCTGCTTGGTCTGTTTATTTTTAACTGTCAACAAACAGATTTCCTGTTCTCGATGTTGCTATGTTGAAAGCATGTTGAAAGCTTGAAAATTTAATAGCAGCTCTGGAGTTTAATTTCAGAGATGTTCAGGTCTAGTTTAGATTCCTGTTTTTCTTCAGCTACTAAAAGAGGCGTCATTTCCAGCTCGTATTATTTTTTGCTCTTGAAAGGTTTCAGGACAGTTTACAACAATATAGCTTACTTTGCAAAATCCCAGCTCCTAGAATGGATATAATTTCCTGAAAGTCTAAATTAGCTCAAAGAAGGTCATTATTATTCTCCCATGACCCTTGTGCAGATGTATATTTAAACATTCTACAACCTGGGCAATGAGGAACTAGCATTTTCAAAAGCAGGCTCTGCAATTTCATTTCTGTAAACATCCCCTGTGGATAATGGAGAGCACTGTGTTGTGGTGATGGACAGACTTGCGGAGCCAGACAGCACCTGCGCTTGTGGGGGTGACTGCTGGGGCATCGCAGTACAGTCTGACCTGGCTGTCAGGCAGCCATGTCCCAGACTGCTCCTGTGCATCCCTGGGTTTACCAAGAATGTCAAATTACTGGCAAAGCTCTGGGAAAACCAGAGCTATCTGCAAAAAAATGTTTGAGATGTCAGGATTCCTAAACATTTTACCATTCAATTATTATTACAGTCCTCCAGCCCAGTGGTTAGCCTGTTAAGTTAGTTTTTATGAGAGAAAAGCATAAGCAGGTGTTAATCAAAAGACCAAGGAGCAATGATGCCAGTAAGTATGTCAAATGCAACTTCTAATTCAGGAGAACAAGAAGAAGGAAAAGACAGGTTAAGAAGAAGGCTCCAAGTCTCAAATGCAAATATATTAACAATTGCAAGACATAATTAGCCCTCCAAAAGGGAAGGCAGAGTATTGTATTAATAAAGATTTTGACAGGGAAAACTTTCCACCAGTTAAAAAAATAAAAACCTCACTTCAGACAACCTCTGACAGAAAACTTTAGAAAAAAATACATAATACAGATTAGTCAGGTAAAACAGGAGGAATTTCACTGCCAATTCATTAACACAAGGAAAAGATACAGAATGATTTTATTTGGTAAATGTAAAAAAAAAGGGCTCAGGCCTTTTCACAAAACTTTCTCAGCTCTATCAACAAGGGAATTTACCCACTTTGGGAGCTCATTTATGTATTTGAGGAAATAAATGTAGATATGAATTTGGATCATTCAGTCTCCCAATCTTCTCAGGTTTCCTTTGGACTGTGCATTATTTTAAGAAATATGACTGACAGAATCTGACTCTTAGATATTGGGCATAGTAACCAATAATAGTACAGCACCTGAGTCACTGAATACCTGATAATTTGGATTTTCCATTTAAGAAAAGAAAAACAGCTTACCATTTTCCTTCCTCATTTTCATACTGCTGGACTGTGTACCCAAACATGTCTTCCAAAGGCCCACTGAAGGTCAGAGCATTTTTCACATCAACATTGGAACAGCTGACGAGGTGAAAGAGAGCTTTAAAAAAAAAAAGCAATATGAAGCAAAATGCCAAGACTTTTAAGAAATCAAGGTTCAATTATGACTTAACCAAGAGTGCAAGGTGGGTTGCAAGTGGTATTTTGGGTGTATCACAGCTGGTAAGAGATTTAAAACATATTTCCTTACACATACATATGCAGATAATTCAGAGATGTTAGCAAGTAGACTTCTGTATCCAAAACCTATTTTGCAAAGTCCATCACTCATTTATAAATCATAATTCAATAACATTATATAAAATACTATTACCTTTAATAGTAAAATTTTTAGTTACTTTTAATCCTTTTAGCTCCATTCATTTTTAATTGAAGAATTTTACACAAAATGTTTCTTCCCTCATTCAAGGTAGTACTTCTCAAGTTTTCATAAATTTGAGAATTAACTAATATTCAACTGTTTGCAGAAGACACACATAGGAAAAGAATGGTGAAAAGCTCTCAGATGTATGTACTTTCAATCTCTTTTGTTTTATCTTAATTCTGTTCTAAAGTACCTGTAAACCTTTCATATTTGAAAAAGAACAGAATAATTTTTTAAAGTGACCTGATGCTGTTACCTCAAAAGTGCCTGTATGTGACTATCTGCAGAAATCCAACACTTAGCCACTCAGGAGAAGTTGCTCTACAAAGGTTGTGTTGCAGTGTGACGAGATCAGTCATGAGAGCAGATGCTTCTTCAGACTGATTTTGCATACCCCATGGCTCAGTGATCATCATCAGGGAAAAAATGTAAAAATACAACTGTAGGAGTTTCAGAAAAATGAAGTATGTAGGATGAAAACTCCATCTTGAAGTGATAGTCATAAGCCACCATAAAGCTCATAAGAAGCCAAAATTACTATTTATATAGAAAAATAAGGCTATTTATCTTGTCTTCATAGTTTTCTTGTATTTCTCTTTTCTATCTTTGTCCTGTTGAAGTTTCAAAAGTGATCACTGATTGCTCCTGCAGAGCTGTGTATTTAATTCACAAAAGCCAAAAATTAGTTGAATTTGTAGAATATAAAGACTACTTAAAGACACAATTATACACAACTTTCATTTCATTACAAAGAAGCATTTCATTATCACTTGCTGACATTTAACAGCTACATAAAAATACCCAAACCCATACTTGTTGCATGTCAGAGCATGTAAATAATGTCCAGTTACTAAAAATATATCTGTATTATTCACCACTGAGATGATCATATTCTTATAGAAAGCTTGTTACTATAATTAAGCTCCCAAGTGGTCAATGATAATCTGTCTTTCTCAGCATCTTATTTCCTGCTTAGTGCAGTAAAATTATCACAGAAGGCTATTTATCACTTAGTAGGTATTTCCAGTTTCACTGGACAGCAAAAAAAGAAAAGTTTTATTTGTGTTATTTTATTTTTTCTTCTTCTAGTCAGAGTCAGGAAATATAAAGAAATGAACAAACTAAAACAAAGTTTATTTTTATTCTTCAGAAAAGATTCATTGCCAGTGATAAGAAAAATACATGACTGGCAGTCTGATGTGAAACAATTTGCTGGAAAAGTAATTCATGCACCTTTTTTCTTCCTTAAAACATTTATGTTTAAAGAAATTATTCTGTTGAAGAAGAAAGGTAGATGCAAAACCTACCCATGTCAATTTGTCTCTTAAAGATCACCAGAATCACAGAATCACAGAATCTTAGGAGTTGGAAGGGACCTCGAAAGATCATCCAGTCCAACCCCCCTGCCAGAGCAGGATCACCTAGCCCCTGAATAAGATGTACAGATTATCCTTCTAGAGGTCTTCTGAGGCATGTTTTTCCCCCTATCTCACCTTATGATGATATTTAAAAGTTATTATAATAGGAAATACTGAAAGCCACAGATTCCAGCTGATCTCTTCCAGTTTACTTTCTGCTAAAGCTACTGAATATTACACATGCACTCTGTGCTCATACACTCCATTATGGTATCCTCCATCATCATTGCATCACTTGCTGATGGACAAGGAATTTATTCGCAGTGATGCAGTACTGACAGCTATTGTGATTTTTATTATGTACTTACCATACTAAATGGTCTTGAAGTTTCCTGCATCTGTTAAGTGATATATACAAATCTCATAACTTTAACAAATATCATTCTAATCCTCTTAGCTATAACAGAAAGTTTGAAAATGTGAAATGCTAAAACAAGCAAACTAGAAGAGGAATAAAAAAATGCCAGCTATTTGCAACTAACCTCCAAATCCTCATGCTTCTGAGTGAGATCAAATTAGACCCAGCAATAAAAATACATGATCTTCTAAAAAATAAAGCTAGAGCGATCAAAAGAAGCTATATGGGCCAGACTGGTCAGAAATAAAAAGGAGGTGACTCCACACAGCAGGAAAGAGATCTGTAGACTTTGCCAACAAAGGAAGTCTTGGATGCTAAATGTTACATATTCAATGGGTAACTGAATAAGTTAATGGAAGACAAAACTACTGCAGGTTACAATTCATACAGAATGCACATGTGGTTCTGGAAATCTCCTCAGCTGGAAATATTTGGAAATTGGAAGAGGAATATTATATATGCCTGCTCAGTTATTTTTTTGTCTCTAGCTATTGGCTTACATGTACTCATGCAGACATGATAATGGACAAAACATGGTCTTGATTTGATCCAGTCTGGCTATCCTTTTGCCCTCTCATCTTTCTGTTTTATCTTAGCCAGAAATCAGATGCTTTTGATGTTTGACTGCATACACAAACTGTGTGGCATATTTTAATATAGAAATATATATCATGACATTTTGTGGCTTCTGTGTGCTATGAAACATCATGAGCATAATGTTTTTGAATAAAAGTAAGGGTCATGATAAGCAGTGTAAGATTAACCTACAAATAATTAATTGATTTAGAGGTATCTTAGTACATTTTCCACAGATTCTGTAAAAGGAAATCTCACTAATCAAAGACGTGCAAATCTGCAGATAGTAAATGGAAAATTAGAGTTTACAGTGACCCACATTACACTTTTAATTAAAAATAATCTACTGATTTATGGCAACCCAGCCTTCACATTTTGTATCTTTCTTCATTACAAAGAACATTGTACACATAAACGGACAATTCAGGACATTTTAAAATATCACTGATTGTGACTGTGAAAACGATAATTTATATAAATAAAAATATCTAGTTTGCACTCTTCCAAACTTCCAGTTTCTAAGATGCACATATTCTGATCTGTTTCTAGCAACCTTGTGTATATGAATTTAAAAAACTATTGGCAGAAGCAGTGGAAAAACAAGAGCTACAGGGAAGTTGAAGAGGATTCTTTTGAGAGTTATGGGGATTAAGGAGAAAAAATCCGTTTCTTGGTAAGGTACATAGTATTTGACTATACACTTAATCACAATTACTGTAAGTAAATTAAATTCAGATTTTGAGCAATTGCATGTTGTGTTAACAAGATGATTAAAAATACAGCTGAATGCAGTGATCAGAAATGCAAAATATAGATGTTTAGCAAAGGATAAAACCGAAGTTCCAGCTTGCGACTTCATGTTCTATAAGAAATGAGGCACTGTAGAAAGCCTGGGACAACGTCTGTCTCATTACTGATTTAAATGGATGAGAACACCAGCTGATGCAAGCAGCATTCTTTGCTGAGCACAGTTTGTACCTATACGTGAAAGGTTAACACTCAGTCGCCATGACAACAACCCAAATATTTCTATTACAAACCTAGGGTAGTAGCTCATACTTGTCCAGTAGCCACTAATAATTTTTTTTCTGTTTTATTTAATCAGATCTTTTAACCAAACATTTCTGCCATCTGCCTGGTTATTCTGCCTCTAAGCCATGCAAAACTAGATTTCTCTGATGCCTGTTCAGGTGCATATTGCCTGGCCGCTCTAACCTTTGCAAACAGAGAACCGCAGAATAGGCACCCTTATCGTTCTAGAGCAGATGGATATAAACGTAACCTAAACTGTAGAACGAAGCCTAACACATGGCTCTTTACTGATGAAAAATAGATCACCGCAAATTACCCACAATAAACGATATCACGAAGACTGATATAGCCAAGACAAGAGAGTAAATTCATTTAGGGTATTTTATCTGTGCATGGTCTGTAGCACATAACAATCGCATCCTCTATTAACAGTTGTTATTCTGAGACATAAAAATTTTTTGCAAAAATGGGAATGGACAAATTTGCACTTAGCATTGAACAGGGCTTACATGTTGGCCACATGCTACTTCTCACCAGCTTGTGGTCAAAGTGTCATTTTTGTTCTATTTCATACTTACTGTTATAGTATTTCAGATATCCTTATTAATTCCTCTGCATTTTGCAAGAAGAGACTGAAACAAAGCAGGTCTGAGTGCAAACAAGAGGGACAACAAACCAAGTAGAAATGTCTTGCAAAAGTATGCACAACTGGAAAATATTGGGCAACTCAAAAAAAGTTATTAGCAGAAAAAAAAATAGACTGCTTCCATCCTGCACAATAAAAGAGGACAGAGAAATCTGAGTTGAAGTTGAAAATAAAATTAAAATGTTTTATGGAATTCTCAAATACCTGGACCTCTTGCAAAAAGTAAAAAAGAAAAAAAAACTCATAGCTTTAATGACTTGTACAGCACATGTAACAACCAGTAATCGCATAAGGGTATTTAAATACCTGCAAACAACACAGGAGTGCAACACATGAACACAGAACAGTGCATCTGATCAAAAGGTACTGAAGGCTAAGTGATATAAGTAAAGATGTCCTAATTTATATGGCAATAACTGATTGCCTTTTATGCTGATACTGAAAAAGACTACCTGTCCCTGTTCTGATCTTAGAAGACATACGGAGCAAACAGCATAAAAAGAAGCAATTGGGATGCTGGTGCCAGTTACCCCATGAGGGGAGTAGGACTAGAAGTATTGGCTTGGCCTCTCACAAAAGTTTATTTTCAAAACAGTTGCAAATAATATCATCCTCTGCCATTAGAAAAATCTTTCACTTGAGGAAATTGATACCATTGAGTGTTGGCATGTGCAAGGCTGTGCTGCTGCTCTCAGTGAGCTGGAGTCAAGCCAGTAGCAGAGAACAAACTGTGTCCTTCATTAAGTGCAGCACTGAGCCTCAGCAAATAAAACCTTCTGGAAGCTGGATCTTTTTAGCTGCATCAACACAACACTATGGATTAGAGTTCAAGGCTGGACTGCATCTGGCTGGTAGCAAGGGAATATTAAACACACATGTCCTTCAAAGACATACCTATAAAAGCGCTATTTGTTAAATCACAGCTCAAACACATGAAAGTAGATTCTTTGCTGGACCAGCGAATGAGAGAATCTTCACATTCTATTTTTTGCTTTATTTGCAATAATGTCACTGCAAGATTATACAGGCTTGTCTTATGGAAAACAGATTTAGTCACAGACATGCCAAGTGGAAGAAAATACGACAGCGCGGTACAATCACCATCTGTGAGCTGAGGGGCCACAGTGCTCTGGCCTTATTGCGGAAGGCCAAGGGGGCTGTGGTATGAGCTCCTGCTGCATTCAGTTCTGGCTGGCTAAATATCAGCGTATTTCAAATAATGCTGTATATTAAAAAAAAAAAGTTTCAACTTCTGAAACTTTTTCAGTACTGGTTAAATCAAGCCTTTTATTTCACAGGGCTACAAAAGAACCTCTGTATAATTTCGCCTCCAGCATTTTTTCTTTAATCTTTAACCTCTGAAGAGCAAAAGACTGACTTTCTGGAATGAAACCAAATAATTAAAAAAAAAAGAAGACTTCTTATTAAAAGTAGATAAATATCCCATAAAGACAAAGAAATACATATTTGAAAGTGGTTCCAGATTCAGTAGCCACATGCTTTTCAAAACCAATGAAATGCTTTGTACAAGTCATTAAAGATTCATTTGCTGGTTTTGTACTGAATAATTTGTACAGGAAAATAGCCTGAAAATATACTGAATCAATGCTTTATAATGTGGTCTCAAATCAGTAAAGCAATGCAAAAGGCAAAACTTCTGGAAATACAATATCAGAGACCAAGAATATGTGCCCCACTCAGTTGTCAGAACAGAACTCTTTTGTTCAAGGTTTCAAGAGTCCTCTTATTGGCACAATTTTTAGCACTTGTCAGTTTCTCACAGAAGGGAGAAAAAGTCTTAGAAATATGCAGTCACTCACATACAGAAAACCTTGTTAGGTCAGCTACCAGTCTTGGACAGATACACAGAGGCTTAGCAAATGTAGCAGCTTGATGGAGGTGAAGCCACTCCTACAAAATGTTTCAGCTTGTCTTCAAGTCCACCTATTGCATGTAGTTCTTTCATCAACACTTAACTCCATTCAAGTCCCTACAGTCTTTGTGTTTCCCTCTAGGCCCACCCTCCTTTGCTATTGAAGAACATTTCCTCCTGAACACCCCACTTCTGTTTCCTACCATGTGGATTTACCTATATGCCCCCAGGACTCTTCATCTCTTTACCTTTTCTTGAGATAGGAGATATCAATATTCATCTATAATTAACTAAGATTTCACACAGTTAAAGTGAATGGTTAAAATGAATGCATACATTCTGAAATAAAACCCAGAAGCTTAAAAAGGAGCAAGGGATTAATTTCATGCAAAAAAAACCCAAAAAAACAAGGACTGTTTAACCTAGAGAAGAATGTGTTCTTCATCATATTCTCCAAAGCTGTTCATGGACCATTATGTTTTCCTCTGCCAAAAAAATCCTCTAGCTTGATAAGAAGAGTCAAGTATGAGGTTTCAGTTTGTTTTCTACAAGCTTTCTACTTGCCCAGTTATGCTGAATCCCAGTTTTGCAGGCTGAAGCCCTGCTGCTGTACGCTTTCCACTGTGTAGCCTTGTAGAAAACCAAAAGCATCAGTCTATCTGACCAGTCTAGTCTTTGTCAGCCTATCCCATCAAACTTAAAATCACCGATCTATAAAACACCCCAGGACGACAGAAATTCCTTTTGAACGTGCTGGGAAATGTGATATTGCAAGAACTGATGCAAAAATTGATGTCTAGCTGAAAAATCATGTTACTATCTTTCTACCAGGATGAAGGACAATTCTAATTTCTTTTGCCTTCCTGACTTGGTACCATTATTTGCTAATTTTTCTCCTCAGTTGTATTCAGAGATTGTTGGGTAATTTTTCCTCAAAGGTCAGCAGTCTTAAGGCTAATATCAGAGTGGAAATTCTTTGGTGGCAATAAAGACTTTCTGAAAAGCAGTAAATTTTTCCATTTCTTTACTTCACAATGGCTACAAACTCCTGTCTTTCATCGCCTTATGCTGAGGATGATAATTGGCTCAGTCTCAATAAAATTGCTTTAGGCTTCAGGAAAATAAGAAATCCTCCAAAAGGAAGTGCAAATATCCTGATATGACCCTTTCACACCCATCTAGCCAGGGCACCACAGAACTTAAAGCCAAGCCACTTTTTATATAGTACGGCAAAAACTGGTGCAGTAAAAACATGCATGCTTAAATCCAATAGCTCTTCTTTTATGACCATAAAACGCATCATTATAAATTCAACTGTGATCCCAGTAAGTGCAGTGGAAGGAAAAAGATGGAAGCTTACAAATACCTGTTTTTTCCTTTGGTCCGACACAACTCGACTATGCAGTGATTTGAGAGGGAGAGTGGAAAAAAAAACACAAAAGCAAGAAGAGAGCTTGATCAAACAAAAATTCCAGAACCAAGCAGGAAGAGACACACTTCAGAATTAAATCTCAAACATGTATATTAAAATAAATAAATGATGAACTTGCAAACTATAGTCAGGTTGTATAGAGAACACCTTTCCTATTATTTCTGATAATACAGCATCTGTGATAATTTTCACTGTAACACAATATAACATTCATTTTCTTTATCTGAGGCATCTTCTAGTAAAGAGGGAACAACTATGTTGCTCCAGCTTCTTATGTCATGGCTACATAAAAAAGAATTCAATGTTTTTCTCGTCACAATATGTACTCCCCTACTTCAACAGGGACTTGAACACTCTTTAAACTGCTTCTCAGCACAAAGGCAAATTTTTCAGATAAGTTTGTTACATAAAGCCAACAGGTTCCGTCAAAATGTAAATCAAAAGGATTTTTACAAACTGAACTCTATTGAAATGGCACAAGGAGATGCTACTATAGTCTAAGACAGAAAACACTGTTACTAATATAAGTATCCTAGCAAAGTTTAAACCATTTTTTTGTATTTAAATAATCATGTTTGCGATATTCAGAGAGTAGAACTGGAGAGTAAAGGATGAAACCTACAGTTGCTAAAGTGAATTTTGAAAGGTTTAAAAATGCTTGACATTAAGCTTAGACTGAAAAAAATGAACCACCATGCAAACAATTTCTCTTTTCTATTGCATATGTTAATTCTTTTCAGTGTGTCAACTGTATTGCAAATAATATTGTTCAAGGATTTTTTAAACTTTTTCTCCTATCAGTAGCCAGAAAAATGACCACAGTGAGTATACAGTTGAGAAGAGATTGCTAGAGGCAGCAATGGAAAACAAGTGACATATTTGCTGAAATGCTGGAATTCCATCATGAACAGTCCCCAGCTGCTAGCGCTCTCACACCAGGAGGTCAGATGGAAGCGCCTCTTCATTCCCATCCTCACAGCAGCAAAGTGCCCACAGGGAATGCCAGCTCTGTCCTGCAGGAGCACGAGGCAGCAGGCACTGCCCATTGCACAGATCTGCTCTGACCTGCTCGCTAGCAAAATCCTGAGCCTGTCTCAACCATGCCTCAGCATGGGTAATCATGGTACCAAGACATACAGAGCTCTTCTGGTTTGAAACTTATGACTCGTCACTGCTATAATAGAAGATAGCCCTCAGCCCATCTGTTTCCTTACTCATCTCCACCTATGAATTGTTAACTGTGGTAAGAAATCTTTTCTTGCACTGGGCAATTTAAAGTGATATATATCACATTTTAACTGAGAAATCCAAGCTGACAAGAATGTGGGACTGCAAATGACCACAGTGGTCATTAAATTCAATTTTCCATGAACATAACTATAAAATAGCTGCCTAATATAGAGAAGGCTACAAAGACCATCACCACATACGCATCACAAAAGACACTGCAACCTAAGAAAAACTGAAGATCAGCAATACAAAGGTTTGTTCATTCGGACAAAAAGTCCCACAAGAAAAAGTGGTACTGCACTAGGCAATCCATAGATTGCTGCTACATGCATTTATTTACTTTACTTATGCAGCTTTACTCATGGTTTAGGACAATCAGAAGGACTTTATCAGGCTCACCATTTTATGCATCAGTAGCTAATGTCCAGTTTACCTTTGAGGTGAACGTAATTCACAGGCAACAGATAAAATCTAGCTTTCTGTAAATGGATTAATGTACCAGTTCTTCAGGCAGTGGGAAACAGTGTTCACCTGAGATCACCAGAAAAACCAACAAAGTCAAAAGTCAAAATACCAAATTCACACTGGTATCTCTCTGCTGAAATGAGAACAAAACATACTGCTCTAGTGTATGTTAAAAACTTGCTCCCTGAAATATTCACATATGACACATTCTAGTGGAATATGCTCAAGATTGGAGCCTCTACCACTGTCATTTCACAGAGAAGTTTGGGAAATAAAGTAATTTTAAAAACTGCAGTAACGGTTTGTGAGAATTTAATATTACTATTTTCTGTGTTACGTTTTTATAGTCAAGATACTTTGTTTTTCAATTAAAAAGTTAATAAATTATCCAAAAGCCAGTATATCACCCTGAATAATCAATATTGAATAGTAACATACAGAAAACTTAAGCATAATAATATGCATTATCAATCACAGCTACTAATTTTTAAAGACTAAGACACTCCAGTACTAGTGATAGCATGAGCACCTCTTTTAGGGATTTTACTGGTAAACCAGCTGAAAGCACTACAGAATTAATTCCAGGTCTTTTAACTGCAAATGTTCTTTTTTACTGGTCAATAAACAATTCAGGGAAATTTGGAACTAGCCATGAAGAGATTATAAAAGGAAGGTTTATTTCCCCCCTAAAAATTAAAGCTGGGCTCTAGAGGTAGAAAAACATCCTGTTGTTTAGATGTAGTTTAAGATAGACCTTTCCCCATTAATTACTGGCACTAATAACTTATGTTTTCCACCCACAGCACATGAAGTACACCCATGATTTTAAGATATCTGTCTGGCTCAGTCCTGTTCAGAAAGTCCTCGGGTGTTACCATTAGTCCCATAAAGAAGCTCTTACTCTTCCAAACATCTGCATCAACTTCACAAAAGTACCATGGAGCTTAAGAGTGAAGAAATTTTATTTTCGTGTGTAGATGCCACTTGTCCAGGGTAAATTGAAGTCCGCAAAGCTAAGATCAGTTTTGGTGTTATTTAGGAGTGGCTCAAAGAACATTCTGCACAAAAGAACCTCGTGCCACCACTTTATGTCCCACAATACTTCTTTTGCAAATACGAGCTACCTTATCCTAGATATTGTATCAGCATTATGCAAGTAGCATCTCAACTACAGTTGCAGCAGCAGAGAGTGGCAACAAATCACTTCCAGCTTTTCCTTCCAGCCTAGATATGAGGCAGCACGGCAGCACTGATGCTGTGCTTTTTATTATTCTTTGGTCTTACAGCTCTTTGGATACCACAGTTGCCTTTGTCTGAAACACTTTTCTAAGCTGTGCTGATATACACAGACAACAGACTCACAGCAGTTCACTTCAGAATTGTTGGAGAAAACATGCTTTCTAAGGAAGACACATTTATTGATCAGTTACTTGAGTCTGATGCCTTTTTACAAATGAAACATTTAAAAATTATTTTTACTACATCTTTAAAGCTCCTGGAGGACATCAAACTGGCAGAGATCAAAAGGAAAGTACTTATTAAACCCGTATCAGGCACCTCATACAAGCAGCTTCATACGGTCAGCTCTGATGGTTATTCTTGTCTGACACAAGGTCAATATTGTGGTGCAGCTCTTGAGATGTGGTGTCAATGTTTGCGCTAAGACTTGGACTGATATAAACAGGGCAACACAATGCTCCGCTAAAATAATAGCAGCAAGCACTCTGCTTCTGTTCAGAGCATAGGGTACAAGATTGCTGAATTCATTCGTATCTATTGCTGGCAACTGCATCATATTTTTCAGGGTAAACAAATTCCATATTAAAGCAATCTTTTGCTCGGATTTTTCTGACTGTTCCAACTTCTCATTTTTCCAGTAGTAAAAAATTTCTGCTCTCCAACATACATTTATTTCTTGCCAGTTCTTATGTCAAAATAAAAGTGCTCAAACTAGGGTACAATTAGCTTTGAAAGTGTTCTAGAAGTAAAAGCAGAAACTTCGATTTCAAAATACTACTGCCTAAAGGCCTAAGTATTTTTCAGTGACAATTTCAATACTCTCCCCTGTAAAAAGAGACTATCATAAACTTACATAACCTAATTAAGCTAGAAAGAAATCTTCAAAATTAGGAAAGGTTAGATTCACAAATGCCAGAATTAATTCTCAATATTAATTTTGGTTTTTTTGTGAACACTTAATAGAACTTTTGTCTCATAACCAAAATACAGGATCATGCAAGTAGACTTGGCTAAAGCATATGCAGATGGCTTGCAATTGCTTAAGCAATAATAAAACTGCTGTTTACAAAGATCATAATGCTTGACGGTGTATTCATAGATTTTTAATAACTAAATTCTGAGGCTTTCAAGACTAAAAGTCTAAAAACTTGCCATTTGACTGACTTGACTTACTAGTCTGGTTATCTTAAAAAACAATGTTTAGTATTTAGTGTAATAACCTGACACACTGTTTAAAAAACTCAACAAACCTTTTAACATCTTTTTTTCTGGCATTTTCTTACTGTTTCTTCTCACTAGCACCCTCTCAAAAAACTCTGCAAGATTTATTTCAACCAGCTTCTGTTGGGTTTGGGCTTATTTAAACCACGACAGTACTACTTCTGTAAAAGAAAGTGGCTTTCAGAGAGGTATGAAAGGAAAATAAAGATAGTCTCTCACAAGCCTCAGATACAGCAATGACTCCGTATGTGACAGCGGTGTAGCAAGCTTGTCAGAAATGAATTACTCCATAGTGACAAGATTAGCAAGGTCTCAATATCTCAATTTCAGGTTTCAGCCTCGGGCTCAAGGCTCCTCTCCCTTGGACACAAGCTTAATCACATCTGCTGGCATCTTGCTTTAACTGAGAGTGAGTTGTTAGAACTGAGTACAGATATTTTAAACATCTACTGCAGCTTATCTGGGGAAGAAGTCTTCTGCCCAAGACAGCACTTCATGTTTTCCATTGAATCATAGCTTTTTGTCTTTCCTCATGGCTCTGGAACGTGGAGGAGCTCCCTCATGAGGCAGCTGCTCCTGTTCTGCCTCTCACCACCACTGTCCCAGCAGCTCCCAGGTACACAGCCCTGCAGTGAGGGTCAGCACTGCCCCAGGAGGGATGGCTGTCCTGGCAGATAGCTGATGGTCTCTCACCACCGTATCTGAAGAAAGTCCATTTCAGCTTCTTTTAGTCCCTCTATTGCAGAGCAGCAATTTCTGCTCAGGTAAAGAATAAATTATACGTGATAGAACATTTATCTTTACCAAAGGGAGTGGAAGTGGTCTTATGGCAACTCTTTCAGGAAGATAAACAAATGCAATTAATTAATTTATTTCACACCTAAACTGAAATACCTATACAGGCTGAACACTGCAGGTCAAAGAAAAGCAGTTCTTTTCAGCAAAACCTGCTGCAGCTTTCAGAGCTTCAGAAACTGCTGAAGGAGATGTTCATGAGCATTCAACAACCATCAGACATCCTAAATATAGCACTTGCTACCAAGCTCACCCTATCGTAACCAAATCTTGAGACCTGAAAATAACTATGAAGCCTGCATCCTGAGTCATTCCTTGACTACCAAAGCAACTACAAGGCAAGTCTTTTTTTTTTTTTTACAAGAAGATACCACATTCTTTGAGGATACTGCATCTTTATAAACACACACATATATTACTTTACATACATTCTGTGTTTCATTTCTTTGTTCTGGAGTCCTTTCAGTAAAAAGTCGGCTAAAAACATTTGTTCTAAGTAACAGAAATGTCTAAGAGTTTGTATTAAGGCTGCATGGGAAAGAATCTGCTTCTCTTCAGAAAAACAAATTTGCTTAGCTGCCACCAGGTCCAAAATCTTTTTGAAACATGGAACCCTACTCAGGGCTTTTTTCTGAAACAAAAAGGCGATAGCTGGAGTGTGCTAGGTAGGAACAGTGCCTTTCTATCATGTTCCTGTTCCATTCAGATCAGAAATGTGAAACTTATCTTCCAAATCTCAAGAGATATCACACCCGAGTCAGTTGTGTTAGCTATTTTGGCCAAAATAGAAAAATATTTCTTTGTTTATACAACATGAAATAGTACTTAGCAAAGACAATGACAGAAAAGGGAGCATCTTTAGCATAGTGTTAACAATGACAGAAAAGGGTCTTAAGCTCCATATCTTCTGTCCCATATGACTCCTTAAACCCACAGACTCTTTCTTAGCTATTCCAGACTTGGCATTGATTAGAAATTCCATTTTGAACCAGAGAAAAAACTTCCCATCAAGTCTGGTATGTACATTCCTAAAAAGGAGGACTGGTTTCAACTAATTAACATTCTCTAATGCAACAGCTATTTTGCCAGAGGATTCATGATCAGCTTTAATATGACTTTTAAGCAATTATTAGAGCAGCATGACTGTAATTACGTTAGCTGTGAACATACCATTTCCCAAGAAGACAGGAATAAATTAGAGATTGATATAGCAAAATCTGACAAGGGCTGGCAGTGCTTGAAAGCTGCTGCTTTGTGTTGCATTTCCCAGAAGACAAGTGCTGCTCTGCTATCAGCTCCTCTCTGCTTCTTGTACAGCCCTCAAGTAGGACAAGAGAAAGAATTATTTTCAGACAACAGAATAAACAAGTATGATTTCAGAGACCTTTTCCTCATGCACTGTTTTAGACTAAGACACCTTAGGAGAATATTTTTTCATATAAAAGGTATACTGCATTTCTAAAACAGTCAAGTTCAGAAGTTTACAAAGACCACACACTACAGTTTGGTTGTTAGGCTGGAGACATTTCTTTCCTTTATATTCTGTATCATGCAAGCAGCTATCCTCAAAACAAAGTCAAAGCCTTAGTTGAGTCAAGAATAAAAAAATCTGGCAGGATGAAACATTATGCTTATTAAGCAACTCTTCTGCAACTGTCACACAAGAAGATCCACAGCCTATGTTTACATTTTCCACTGCTGAAAAATCCCAGGCTTGACCCATGTCAGAGCATGAACTAAGAGTTCTAACAATAATCACAATACCCAAACGGTTAGGTATTTTTTCAATTCTAAATTAGCAGAATAGCAAGTTTGCAAGATACTGTTTTCCTACATGAAATGTGAATACGGTTTTAGGAGAAACACAGAAAATGGAAAATAATCTGCTGCAATGCCATGTCTCTCTTCTGTTCCCACCATTTCCAAAATCAACTGAAAACTGAGAGATCCTAAGTCCTAACAGCATCAACTTTGATCACTTTGTAACAAGTTGCAGGTGCATACTGAACAAGAACTGCAAAGAGAATGACTCACAGACCTGTATTGTTCCCCACTTTAGCACAGCTTGAAGAAGAAACTTCAGAACCACCTCAGTTGCACATAACTCTGCATTTTAAGAACTTTATTATAATATGTACATTTTATCTTAAAAAAAAAAGAAAAAAGACAATAGATAAAAGCAACTGGTACATCAGAGAGCAAGAAAATAAATCAAGTTTGAAGTTTTGCCATATCAAAAAAGTACACAGATAAGTAGTTTTCTGAAGTAATTATTTCATTTTTTTTGTTTTGTGTCTTGCAGGAATTCCAATTTTGTGATATAAAAAAGGATTCCTAATTGTAGAGCTTCTAATTGCTGTTTCACATTTAAAAAAAATGCTTTCTTACATCTTTTGCAGAAGAAATAAACCAAACACTGCACAAACGTGGCTTCAAATAAAACCGCATAAACATTCTGAGAACATTTTTTCCTGCAAAACTAGACATCTATTCCTTAAGAAACAGGCAAGTTTTCTTGTAAGAGATAAAAAAATTTGAGAGAAAGGTGAATGGGCTGGGTGACTAGAAAAGATCACATACACATGATTACACCTTTTATCCCGCTTGCCTTTAAGAAACTGAGCACATTTTCTGGATGGATATCGCAGCTCCCAGAAAGAAACTGGAGAAGCTCAGGCTATAAATCAGTCAAATGAGAAAGTAGCTGTAATATACCTTCACAGAAAAAGGCAAACTAAAGTCAGCAGCTCAGAAGTTAATCTAAGAAATTTTCAAAGGGTAAGAAAGACAGTTTTAATATTTAGGGCCACATAACCTTTGAGAGAACAGCAGCAAATGAAAATTACTGTAGACATTTACATAGCTTTAAAAATATCATGCTACTTACATCACAACTTAAGCTGAAGAGCCATGGGCTCCTGTTACACTGGTGGTCAGGGTGTGGTCAAAAGATAATTTTATTACCGGCATTTTACTCATATAGTGTCCACGGGTGAAGACAGGAGGAGGGAGATGAGGAATTTCCTAGGTCATATTCCGTTAAATGCATTAGTTTTACTGATTTTTTATTTTTTTTTATAGCTAGTGGGATTATTTTGGTTTCTTGCTGGTGGTGACCTCTTGTCTTGCACCAAACTTTATTTGGTAAACAACCACAAAAATTTATATAGTAACTGGATTTAAATGCCAAAGATGACAAAACTAACGAACTGGGGCCTTCTCCAAAGTATGAGTTTGCAAGAGCGGCTTTATGATCTAAATTAATGAATTTATGTGAATCTTTGAAGAACACAGCAGGGTTCAGGATCAAGCTGATTTCATGATATGTTTTAAAGCTTTCTTCCTACTAAACATAACAAATATTAAGAAGTCCTACAATGTGTATTCATTTATTTTGAAAACTGAAAAATACTTCATGGTGCAAGAGAACAATTTTCATATTGTGGACAGTTTTTAGTTCATGTATGTTTAGTTTTAAAGAAAAAAACAAAAAATATTCTTCCATGGTTCTAGCACTTACTCATTTGATCTGCAGTAACATTCATCTTCTGTGCGCTACCTACGCAGACATTAAGGTCTGTATTAAGCATCTTTGACAAAACAGACTTTTCAATTATTCAAAATTACTTTAAATGTAAAAGATACTAGCAACTCTGGAACTTTGCCAGGTCAAGCATCTGCAGCTACTGAACACAGCCTGCTTTCAATACCAAGCCCTTAAGCTGTTTCCTGAAACAGGATGCATTTGTCTACATAGTGATTGTATATTTATTTTACTACAAAAATGCTTACGAAAAAGAAAAATCCCACCCTTCAATACTTTGGACAACTGGATGTGTATTTCTTTTGCAGACTTAGTATCATGATAACAACACCTAAAAAAAGAAAATATTCATAAACTGTCAAGTCAGTGCAGAGACTTAAGTATAAATAATTCAAAGAATCAGTATGAACATATTTTCTTACCAGATGTTTGCTGTTACAGCTTGAAAAAACAAGCAGCAAAATGGCTGTTTCTTTTTCATGGCGATACACTGTCAGAAGTGCAAAACACAGACTTGCAGAATCACCATTGTAATCTTCTTATAGTACACGGCAATAACTCTTCATAATTTGTTTAAAATGCAACAATTTGAATCAATTTGGTCTAATAAAATAGCAAACCATTCCACAACTAAGGAACAATTTGATTTGTCTCCCAGTTTGCTAAGAATGAAACTAATAGTTTCCTGATGCAACACAATTCTGAATCTAAGTATCATTTGTGTACAATTGCAATAACTTGGCATTACTTACAAGAAGGGAAATACTAATATGCCAGCTTACCTTAAATACATTAACAACCCTGTCTGGACATTATGAGCCTGTTTAAAGCCATGATTTGCTACATTTAAGTAGTACTTATTGATTCTTCTTGTTTCATATGTTCTTTACATTTAACTCCATATATAGGAAGGAGCAGTACGCTTTCTAGTTGTCAAAGTGTATAATCAGCTCAGGCAGATTTTTAAAAGAAAGAAATTTTAATTTAAGCTGTCCTAACTGAAGAAAGTCTACCTTAGCATTCTATGACTTGTGGCACTCAACACCATTCAAATCAAAAACACAAAGCTCAAATAACACAGTTTATCTGTGCAAGCTGACCCTAAACAGATGTCTTAATGGGGTTGCTTGTCTTCAGTGAGAGATCAAAGTCTTAATGAAGTACAGCTCTAATGTAAGCTCTGTGTGGATTCCTTAGACTGTGTGGATGATGGGAAACGGGCAGATTGTTTTTAACTCAAAACTACTTCTCTATCAAGGATTTTAGATTTTTCAGCTAGTGACAAATTCAGCTAGATATCAAATTCAAAGAGCCGACACCCATGAACATACAGGACTACCATTATAAATGCTTTTCCCAAAAATTATTCTACCCAGACAAAAAGTTTTAGTGGTTTTATTTTTAATCTTCCGTTCTTCTGTCCCTTTCCACAAGTCTTCCACTGCTTTCTTAAATGAAATTTATTTTTCGCAAGTCTCTCCTGCTCCCCTCCACCTCATTTAAAAAAGGAATGCTTATTTGCACACAACCTACACCATCAAACATTGGTTTAAACTGAAGAACCCCCTGCAATTATGTCAGAATCTGAAAGCAGTTTCTGCTTCCTCAGCCTAAGATTTATTATCCAGTGGAAAAAAAAAAAACTCATAGTACCTCTCAATACTTTGAGCAGATAAACTAGCAAATAACTAGAAAAGTATTTTGATTTTTACAGTTTTTATTATCTTAAGCTGAAGTTTTATTTAGAAATTTATAATCTTTACTTCTGTATCACACCTTACATATGTTTTTAAAGAAGTACACCAGATTACTGTTGTCAAAAGACTCCTCATGGAAACTAGGGTCTTAATTTTTAAGCCTTTTCATATACCTTCTCAGAACTGGGTGTTAAATAATCCCAATGTCAATTTATCAGGACTCACTCGATGGCAAGATAAATAGTATGTTTTTAGCCTTCAGGACAATATAACAAGGTAACAGCAATGGGTACACTAAGCTTCACAACCTGTCTTGCATCTATCATCATATTACGGAGGAAATGGCTAATTTAAAGGGTCTGGTTTCAGAAAGATGTTTCAAGTATTTCACAGAAATATTTAAGCTGTTAGACTCATAACAACACAAGAACCCCTCACAGATGATGTTGAGCCCACTCCTTTGAAGCATCTTAGGGAGAATGGCGAGTTCCTAAGATCAAGCAGTTTTGCAATACTCTGTTCAAGCACTTGAACACAAATAAGAGTCTGACATAATTTTCTCTCAGTTTATTATCTTTTCATATACATTCCAAAACATTAACCTGCCAGTCTGCCTTAACATGCAGAATGAGCAGCTTTGGGATGTCAAATTAGTTTCTCGTACTGCTGGAGCTCCAGTGTGTAACTTGCAAAAACAGTCGGCTCCAATGCACAGCATACCAATAATCATTACCATAGAACAGATAGCCAGTAGTGTGCTGAGCAGAGCAGAGCTGTATATTGTAAGAAATGCTATCAAAACCTTAAATTACAGGTCATGGCATATCTGCACATAGTGTTTAGGAAGGGAGAGGCCTTAATATCATTTCAACATGATCTGCAAAAACAAGCTGTTGGAATTAAGTCACTGTTATCAATCCTCTTCAGAGCTAGATTCATCTTCCTGGTCAGAGAGCTCAGCAACTGGAAAGCGCAGGATGGCTGCTACCCCTGTCAGCTGGCTGAGCTGCTCTCCAGACACATGAAGGCTGGAGAAAATGCGTACTGTGCCCATGTTCTCCCGCACACTATCTACCAATTTAACGTATCGGGCACGTGTAGCCACATCCTGGTGCCGGAAAAGCTCATCGCTGATCAGCAAGGTATCGATGGCCATGGCTTCATTGGCCTTCTCCACATGTTTTAGACCATAAAAAGCCCGGTCAGGCTCATGCTGCAGCATTTTATAGAAGTCATCTAAGGCTCTGACTTCACTGGCTGCCTTAGTGTCAGAGAGACGGCTAGTTACAGTTGGGTCACAGAGGGCTTCCTTCAATGCGTATTTATGTCCCGAGGAAGAGTGGACCTAGAGTAAAAAAAAAAGTCAAAGGTGTTTTGTTTTGTTTTGTTTTTTTTAAATAAAAAGGACCAATTAATTAGCCAATAACAAACAGCTTCTACTGTACATAATATTTACCTTGATAATTACTCAAGGAAGTTATCTTTCCTGAAACGTACATGATTCTTTTCTTAAAGGATCTCTTTTGCAACCCAAGCCTATACCAAATCCCTTAAACTTAAAGAAGCGCAGGAAAGCAGTTTCTCTTATTCAAAGATTGGGTTGAATATGCAAGCTGTTGCAGACAATCCTCAAGGTAGGGCCACTTGAAACTAAGAAACTAAGCCAAAGCATCTCCGTTTTAAAGCATTCAAGAGAAGGAAGACCTCTTAAGACTGCAGACATGCAGTGCCAAAACAAAGTCTTGCACAACTGTATAGCTACTATGCTTGCAAAGCTGTTAAGTACAGTAAAACTTTTCACACTTACTATTAGAACTTTGCTACAAAAGCAAAAGGAGGCTTCTTGGTGCACTGCCTCCTAAACCTCATGACCATTAAGTATTTATGGACACAATTCCTCCCCCTTCACCCAGCCTTTTGCAAGCATAGATTACAGGCCTACTCCAATTAAAAGATTATGCAAGTATTTTACACTCTGAGTTTGCCTATTTCAGTGAAAGGCAAAGAAACTCACCATTCAATGAATAAGATGATTAAAGAACAAGAAAAAATGCTATGGTCTGCGTAACCTTTAACTGTGTGGTACAAACCTAACAAAGTTAACTAACCTATACAACATCCGAGTACTTTTTTAAAGCACAACAAAACAACTTTAGAAGGTAGTTATTAAACATGCATGCTATACAGTATGATAGATTAACACTACAGTTAAACTATTTTACAAGTTGTACTTCACTCTTAACTGAAGATTAAATATGTCTTAAATATGCCTTTATTGGGAGTTTGAAGTATTTAATACTTCCTCTACTTCACATTAAGGTATCCTAGAAAGGAACCAACCTTGTATCTTGCATAACAAACTCATAGTTTGGGAGGCATGAAAATAATTTACTTATGATGCTCAGACATAAATTTATTTTCTCTAATACGTGAATTATTTCCCATCAACATTGTAATGATCTTCTATGATCACAGACAGCACTTAAGCCTCTTTTTACCCACTCTGGAAACTGTTTAGCTGCTTACCTGTAGGAACTTGGACTTGTTCTCCAGCAGAAGTCTGTTGTCAGTCTTGACTGCCCGCTGAAACATGTAGTCACAGAACTGCTCACGTACAAAGCCTGGGCTAGCCACCAGTACACACTTCACCACCTCAAAGTTAATATGCCGCTGGATGGCTTGCACCACCTGCTCGTAAAACCTCTCCAGCGCCCGGTCATGCTGACTGCAGTTCCCTTTCCGCTTGCGGGGGATGTTCACCTCCACCTTGGCACGGGTAAGCGTCATGCTTGGAGTGACCAGGCAGACGTGAGCAAGCCCTTCCTGCATGACTACGGCTGAAAAAAAAACCCTCCCTGTCCGCCCCGCCCTGCCACATCAGCGCTCCAGGCTGGGTCACAGGCCTGCTCGATGCGCTCCAGCACCACGCTGTCCCACTGCTTCTTTGCCAGCGTGAACTGCCGGTTGGGCTCCAGCTCGATGGTGTGGTAGGCCCCCATCTTGACATATTCATTCTCTTGGATGTTAGTGCCTTTGACCCGCAGCTGGCAGGCCTGCGAGTCAAAGTCGATGGCCTCCACGCAGAGCGTCAGGGTGGTGCGGATGCGGTTACTGCCCACGCTGCCCGTAGAGGACTCAGTCTGCACCTTCCGGATGGTGGAGGCCCGCA